TGCCGGCCATGCGGGGGCTCCTGGCGCCGCAGAACACCTTCCTGGACACCATCGCCACGCGCTTCGACGGGACGCGTGAGTCAGGCCCTAGCCCCCTAGCTTCCGGGGAGTAGTCCGCTGTCCGAACTGCCACCTGCTGCTCGGCGCCCACCGGTCTCCCCTCTCCCTCGCCCCTCTTGAAGCTGGGGGCCATCCTCTCCTTCCTTCCAGTCACTAAAGGTTTCCCGGAGGTTTTCAGGGTCAACACTGCTAGCAGATAGATGTTCCTAGGTGCGGGGCTCGGGATGAGTCGATAGCCCAACTCCTCCTCAGACCTGGCGCTGTTGCAAGGGCCTAGTCGGGTGAAGTGCAGAACCAGGGCCGGTGGACAGCGCAGAGGACTCAAAACCCAGATTTAGAAATAAGATTTGCAAAGCAAGATAGAGTAGGCGGGATTCAGCAGATACTGTGTGTGCAAGCCCAACGCACAGCCTAAACACATCGCTTGGAATGCCCACCAGCCCCAAAGACGAGCTTGGGGACTCCCATCAGGACTAGGGAAGTTTGGAAAAGGCAACTTGAGCTCCCAGATTCTGGGTTCCTGGGCTCTGAACACAGGGAAACAAAAACAGGGTCCCTCCCCGCTCTCACTGCCCGTGGGGCTTCCCAGTCCTAACTAGCATCCTCGTTCCCCGCTGTAGACAGCCGGTAGGAACTCATCACTGAGCTCTCCCTCCCCCCACCCCAGACGTCTCCATCTGTTTTGGGCTTGAAGCCTGCTGATTCAGCACCTCTGATTCCCCCAATACATGCTTGGCTCCAGGCTCTGTTCAATCACTATGCATACACCCCCATTCTTGATTGCATTCACTAGTTCCTGAGCCAGGGCATGCAGGGAGGGTGCAAATACAGCCGAGGCTGGACAGTGGCCTGGACAGATTCCTAGATCGAGTGGGTCTCCATGGGGAGGAGCCATACAGCCAACCTGCTTATCCAATGGGTGGGTGAGCCTGGCAGGAAGAGAGGTGATGCCTAGAGCAGGTGCAGTCTTTGGGAACTCCCTAACCCCGCCCCTGATTCAGACTGCTCAGGACACACTCCCCAGGGTACAAGGCCCATGCAGGACTGCATTTAACAATCTGCATCGACACGTGCCCATCTTCAAACACACATACACATCCAGCCGGGAGTTGACCCTTGAGGATACTGACGCGCAGATGATGCTTAAGTCTCATTCATAAACAGGTCTTGGCCAGTCAGTACGCACAGCACCCCTGGGGTATGATAAAACCCACCCTTTGGTGGTTTTTGCGGGTATTTTGAAAAGCGAGGCTGGTAGGTGAAGGTGCCCTTCAGTTCACGCTTTCCTCTGAGAGGTGTTTCTCTTGCAGACAGTAACTTCGTGCTGGGCAACGCCCAGGTGGCAGGGCTTTTCCCCGTGGTCTACTGCTCTGATGGCTTCTGTGACCTCACGGGCTTCTCCAGGGCTGAGGTCATGCAGCGGGGCTGTGCCTGCTCCTTCCTCTATGGACCAGACACCAGTGAGCTGGTCCGCCAACAGATCCGCAAGGCCCTGGATGAACACAAAGAATTCAAGGCTGAACTGATCCTGTACCGGAAGAGCGGTAAGCACCATGGTACCAATTTGCCTCACCGTCAGTGTCACCTCGGTGGGCCGGGCACCCACTCCACGGCCTCTCTGCTTTTCCTTGTCCTCCTGCCTCCTCCCCATCATCATCCTTGGTCTGCTCTCAGCATCCACTTACTTAAGTTTCTCATATTCAGAAGTGGGGGGGAAGCACCCCCATCTCAGCGTGTCTGGCGGTCCTGTCTGCTCTCGGTTGCCCCCTCTCCCAAGCCTTGTCCTCAATGAAGCCACACAGCTGCTCCCTCCCCAGGACGCTCTGTTGTCACCTTAGGAGGGTTGAGAATGGAAGGTGGTCAAGTCTCTCTCTCGCCGCCTAGGGCTTCCATTCTGGTGTCTCCTGGATGTGATACCTATAAAAAACGAGAAGGGGGAGGTGGCCCTCTTCCTGGTCTCTCACAAGGACATCAGCGACACCAAGAACCGAGGAGGCCCTGACAACTGGAAGGAGAGAGGTGGGTGCTATATGTGTGGATTTAGACGCCAAGGCTTGGACACTGGGTACCTCTGGCCCTGGCGGGGCTGCGACACCCCCAACCCCTCCTGCGTCCACCGAGTCCCACTCTGTCTGACAGAGTGGCCTGTGCTGCGCTGTGTTTGACATCCTGGGATGGGAATCTTGTCCAAACAGGCTAGTTGAAACCAAGTTGAGGTTGTCGAATCAGTGTTACTGAGCCAACAAACTCTGTGTCTAGGGAGCCCCCCTTCCTCGTTAACTAATGGTGCTGCGCACAGGCTCACCTGGCCCCTTTCCCCACAGCATGCCTGATGGCGAGCCCCGGGCAAACCCCCCTCCAAGGGCTGGGCCAGGCTTTCCAGGCCACAGAGCTGGCATTCGACCCTGGTCCGAGGTCTCATTGCCCTCTGGGAATGCTGGGAGTTCAGTCCACTCCCACAGCTCTATCCTCACTCACCCCCGGGGTCTGCCTCTTCTCAAGTGTCAATCTTCAGTTTGGGCTTCTCAGAACTCACCTCTGCGGGCAGCGTCCCACTGGCTCTGCATTTTGAGACCCTCTTAGAAACTCCCTCTCCTGGACTTTCTCCATTGACTCCTTTTCTTGTCTTGCTGGATCGCGACCGGCAGCTGATCCTGGAACTGGTGTCCTGAGTATCCTTAGGACTGCACAGCTCTGATTGACAAGTGACCCAGTGAAGTGAGGCATGCCTGACCCCTCATTCTGAATAGACAAAAAAGGGTCAACGAGCCGGCTCAGTCCACAGACTAGCAGCTAGTGTCCTATACCCAGCATCCTGTAGTTGACCGTCACAGGGACCCTCTTTTTCTGCAGGTGGCGGCCGGCGCCGATATGGCCGGGCGGGAAGCAAAGGCTTTAACGCCAATCGGCGGCGGAGCCGAGCTGTTCTCTATCACCTCTCTGGCCATCTGCAGAAGCAGCCGAAGGGCAAACACAAGCTCAATAAGGTAGGCTGAGCACCTGGGTGCAGTGTTTGGGTTGGGGACAGGGTAGGACAGGCTGAGGGGAACTAAGCCATCTTGGAGAGAATGCCCAGAAACTACTCAGGTCCCGCCAGCCCTTTGCGGGTGGAACCGAGAGAGGGAATATGTCATGTCTTTTAGACCCATCAGAGGTCTAAAAGACCTCCTTGGCTTTGGAGTTGTGCGGTCCTGGGTTCAATCCTGGCTCTACTCCTAAGCAATTGTTTGGCCTCTGCTAAGTTGTTGGCTCTTCCCTGTCCTCAGCCTTCTGGCCTGTAAATAAGGCCCATGTCAGGGCCACTTGGAGAGTACAGGGAGAGGAAGGAGATGAATGCTCGCCTCGACACTCTCCTGACGTAGCTTCTGCCCATACCCTTTCTTCTCTACCTGGACCTGCCCCTCCTCGCTCAGGGAGTGTTTGGAGAAAAGCCAAATTTGCCTGAATATAAAGTCGCTGCCGTCCGGAAGTCGCCCTTCATCCTGCTGCACTGTGGGGCCCTGAGAGCTACCTGGGATGGCTTCATCCTGCTGGCCACACTCTACGTGGCTGTCACCGTGCCGTACAGCGTGTGTGTGAGCACCGCACGGGAGCCCAGTGCGGCCCGTGGTCCCCCTAGTGTCTGTGACCTGGCTGTGGAGGTTCTCTTCATCCTCGGTATGTGTAATGTGTAACGTGTGCCTGATGCTCCACTCAGGGCCGCCCCCCCCCCCCGGGGGGTTTTGGAGGGACCATTCTTTGCTTGGTTTCCAGTGCCCCACAAGTGCCTCCCTTGTTTGCCAATCCTATATTCCAAAGGTATCTCTGGCCATGCAGTGCTCTAGAGCCCTGAGCGGAGAATAGCCTTGGCAAGCCTTGGTTTCTCCCTCTGTGAAATGGGTATAAACCATGTGCGCCTGCTAGAGTTACACAACGCTTAGTGAGGCCACTGATATGAAGGTCCTGGGGCAGGACCAAGCACTGGACAGGTAGGTGCCCAGTGGGAAAGAGCTGTATCCTACTGATGCCCGCCTATTTCCCAACAGATATTGTGCTGAATTTTCGTACCACATTCGTGTCCAAGTCAGGCCAGGTGGTATTTGCCCCGAAGTCCATCTGCCTCCACTACGTCACCACCTGGTTCCTGCTGGATGTCATAGCCGCGCTGCCCTTTGACCTACTACACGCCTTCAAGGTCAACGTGGTCAGTGTGGCTGGGATGGGTGGTGAGCTTTGGGCTGAGACAGGCAGGGCCAGCGTTGGCCTGGGATGACCTCCCTTCCCCCATCTTAGTACGTCGGGGCTCACCTGCTGAAGACCGTGAGGCTGCTGCGCCTCCTGCGCCTGCTGCCCAGACTGGACCGGTACTCCCAGTACAGCGCCGTGGTGCTCACCTTGCTCATGGCTGTGTTCGCGCTCCTGGCCCACTGGGTGGCCTGCGTCTGGTTCTACATCGGCCAACAGGAGATCGAGAGCAGCGAATCCGAGCTGCCTGAGATCGGTACAGCGGGCTGAGGAGGAGGGTTGCATTGCCAGAGAAAGGATGGCAGGGGCCAGGATGTGACCGTCGGCACGTGGGAATGTCAGAGGAAGGGTGTACATGTGTGTGATGGCCACCGCCATGGGGGGACAGCCCAGTGACTGTCTGGGGAGTCCCAGTCACCCACAGGGCCCTCCCGATGGCCAGACCTAGATCACATTTCTCAAGCTCTTACCCAGCTGTGGAGGGCTTTAGGAAGATACGTGCGCTTAACCTTAAAAGATAGGGAGGGCTTTTTTTTTTTAAAAGCCTGCCTGCCTGCTCTCTGTGGAAGGCAAAGACCTGCTGGCCTCACGGCTTCCTATGATGCCACCTTCGTCGAAGCTTGTCCCCATGGGTTCTCCAGGCCATTGCCCCCTTTGTCACCTCCACTTTCATGTGTATCTGAATCCGCGTTTTCCCTGAGCCTAAAAAGCAGCTTTTTTTTTTCCCAGCATCCCCTCCTCCCTTCACCTCCACTGCTCCGGCTCCTCCTTCCACTCACCGCCCACTCGATCTCAACTCTTTTTTTTTTTTTTTTTTTTTTTTTTTTTTTTTTTTTTTTTTGATTTTTCGAGACAAGGTTTCTCTGTGTAGCTTTGCGCCTTTCCTGGAGCTCACTTGGTAGCCCAGGCTGGCCTCGAACTCACAGAGATCCGCCTGGCTCTGCCTCCCGAGTGCTGGGATTAAAGGCGTGCGCCACCAACGCCCGGCTTCGATCTCAACTCTTGCTGTGCGTTGCCACCCTCACCTCCCACGGCACCCACAAGGTTGTGGTGATTGTCTCGGGCCGGAACCCAGCAAGGCCATAGCCCCTCACAGCCAGCCACACACACTCCTGCTGTGTGAGGTGTGGCCCTGGGCTGGGCCCCTCCAGGTCCCAGATACTCCAGACAGGCTTTATCTGCCTCCCCCCTCCGCCAGCCCATGATGTTGCCGCCATGAGGAAGGCACAGCTCTCACCCTCCTCATTTAACCGTCCTGTTCCAGCCAGTTCTAACGTCGGGCGCACCCCAGCCTGAGCACACCTTTCTTCCACACTTCCAGCCCCCCCCCCCCCGTCAGCTTCTCAGCAACCCACAGTTGTTGAGTTTCCAGCTGCTTGGGTGACCTCTCGTTTCCAGTGACCTCAGTGGGGTCACCCGTCAGTCTTAGAGCTTGCTCTGATCGGTTCCCCGAGAGATGCTGAGGCTCCTGTGAACCTTCTCCTCGCCAGGCGCATGGAGACGGTGTGTGCCCAGAGGACCCACCTGGCGGCTCCCCTGAGCCCGCTAGTTGCTGAGCATGTGGAAACAGGGACACTCCAGCTCGTTGGCACCTGCCTTTCCCAGGGGGAGTCTGTAGTACAGGCAGCTCTGGGGTCAGCAACCACCCCAACCCTGTCTCCAGCTCACCTCCAAGCGGCCCTGAAGCGTTAAATTCCCAGGTGAACCCCATTCTCGGCCACTGATCCAGTCCCCCTTGGTCTTGAGTCCACACTAGATGGCTCAGTGAGTACAGGCGCTTGCTTCCAAGCCTGGCAACCCGGAGTTCGCTCCCCAGGGCCAAAGTGGTAGGAGGAGTTAGCCTCTGATTTCCACGTGCACACCATGACATGTGCTCATACGGAAGGAAGGAAGGAAGGGAGGGAGGGAGGAAGGAAGGAAAGAAGGAAGGGAGAGAGAGAGAGAGAGAGAGAGAGAGAGAGAGAGAGAGAGAGAGAGAGAGAGCAGGCAGGCTTTTTAAAAAATGCCCTCCCTATCTTTTAAGGTTAAGCACACGTATCACGGATCTCCTCTTCCAGGGAGCTGCTGAGCCCCTGCCCAGCGGCCCTGTGGCTTAACCCCGTCCTGTGGCTCTTGTCTGGTGTAGCTCCTGTCCTCCAGGACACCTCTGCCCCTCTGCTGGGGCCCTGCCGCTGTGTGCACTCAGCCACTGGGGGATGGGTGTGGATGGGAGGAGGGGCCACGTGCAGAAACAGGCTGGGGGAGTGTGGCACAGGGTCTGTGTGCTGACCTTGTGAACTTGCACTTGCTCTTCTCCCGTGTCCAGAGAAGACTGGATAAGTTTAGCCATCCCGGCCTTGTGTGTGCGAGGAAGTCTCTTTGGGAGGGTTTCTGGGTGTGAGCGTACATGCCTGTGTGAGCACGCAGGTGTATATGATTCATCTGTGTACAAGTGTGTCCCCAGCCCTGCCCATGTGCCAGTGCCCAGTCACCTGTGGTCATTAGTCTTTCAAGCACACATAGGCCTTTTCAGTGCAAGTGGGCACGGTGGTGACTGGGCATCTGTAGTGTTTGCATGTGTGCCCTTGCCTGGTGTGGGGCATGTGCGGCACCTCAGTGGCCTATGTGCACACATCCATGTTGGTGACAGCACATGTGAGACTGAGTGGTTTGAGAGGTTGAGGGTCAGGGCATGGCTGGATGGACAGGGGCAGGGTTTTCAGTACGCGGTGGCTTGGACAGAGAAAAAATAGTGTGAGCGGGACAGGACAGAGGAGGCAGCCTCAGCCATCCAAACTTGGGGACCAGGCTGAGGCTAAATGCAGTGAGATTTCACTCCTACCCCCAGCCTCTGGGCCACCCCTCTCCTCCTGCTGGATGCGAGATCGACAGCAGCCTTGGAGAAATGGGTGTGGTTCTCCTTCCTCTCCCCAGGGCACCAACAGGATCCAGCTGTGGAGCCTGGCAGCCTGTCTCCCGTGCCGTCCCGCTGAGAGTCGAAGGGATGGATAAGGATGTGCTGTGTTAGCAAAGAGGAGAAAAGGTGGCCGAAGCCACAGGGGTGGGCCTGCATCTGCGTGTTCCCCGCTTTCAGGGTGCCGGCTAGCACACCTGTATCCTCAGAGCAGCAGACCGGTCCGGTCCTGCTCTCTCAGCCCCCCCTCCCCTCCCCAGGCTGGCTGCAGGAGCTGGCGCGCAGGCTGGAGACCCCCTACTACCTGGTGAGCCAGAGTTCAGATGGAGGGAACACCTCGGGCCAGAGTGAAAACTGCAGCAGCAGGAGCGGCAGCGGCGGCGGCGGCGAAGCCAACGGGACCGGGCTGGAGCTTCTGGGTGGCCCGTCCCTGCGCAGCGCCTACATCACCTCCCTTTACTTCGCGCTCAGCAGTCTTACCAGTGTGGGCTTCGGCAATGTGTCCGCTAACACAGACACCGAGAAGATCTTCTCCATCTGCACCATGCTTATTGGAGGTGAGGCTGGGCTGTGGCTTTTTCTGGACCCCTGTGTGCCGACCCCTCTCAGGGTCCCCAGAACTCGAGGTTCTTTGGGCGGTCCACCAGTCCAGGGCTGGGAGAGATGCCCACCCACACACCCCACCTAGGAACATGGGGACGGGCAGGGAGCAGAGGCCAGGTTTGCTAGCCAGGCCTGGAGGTGACCCTAACTCTCCACTCTTCCCCAGCCCTGATGCATGCCGTGGTGTTTGGGAACGTGACGGCCATCATCCAGCGCATGTATGCTCGCCGCTTTCTGTACCACAGCCGCACCCGGGACCTGCGAGACTACATCCGCATCCACCGCATCCCCAAGCCCCTCAAGCAGCGCATGCTTGAGTACTTCCAAGCCACCTGGGCTGTGAACAACGGCATCGACACCACTGAGGTGTGGTGGCCTCCGGGGCGCCTCCTTCTAGACTTTTGCTTCCTCAAGGGGTTTGTGCCTGGTCTCAACGATTAGGAGCGGAGGCGTGGGTGGGTAGGAAACGCAGGAGTGTGGTTTTTCCCGGTTCTCTTGCAGGGACAGCGCCCACACACGAGACAGAGCAGAACCCTAGTTGGGTCTGTGGGTTCTGTGCTCACGGACGTCGGAGTCTGAGGCCAGGGGCAGGGAGGAGAGGGCTGCCAAGAGCTTTCTCCCATGGACTGCATCCTGCGCGCCCTAGTGCTGTCCAGGAGGCTCAGGCCTCCTTCCGTTTCCCTCCTTGCTCCTGAGGTTGGAAGTGGTGGAGAGGAGCTGGTTGGAAGGGGCCTCCTCCTCTGCTCCCCTAACTCTCCCCTACCGCCTGCCTCCAGCTGCTGCAGAGTCTCCCGGATGAGCTTCGGGCGGACATCGCCATGCATCTGCACAAGGAGGTCCTGCAGCTGCCCCTGTTCGAGGCGGCGAGCCGCGGCTGCCTGCGGGCGCTGTCCCTGGCGCTGAGGCCTGCCTTCTGCACACCCGGCGAGTACCTCATTCACCAAGGCGATGCTCTCCAGGCCCTCTACTTTGTCTGCTCGGGTTCCATGGAGGTCCTCAAAGGTGGCACCGTGCTTGCCATTCTAGGTTTGTGTGAGGGGGGGGAAGGGTGCTTGGGGGCGTCTGTGTCGAGGGAATTCTGCAGGGGGGCGGGAAACAGAGACGGGGTGCACACAGAGCCACTGAGGGGAGAAACAGGCAGGTTGGAGTCAGAAGCAACCAGAGTCCCAGACGAAGCGCAAAGATGAGTCAGTGACCACAAGGTCCGGGGAGACGGCAACCCGGAGGGAGGCTCTTCCTAGGATGAGGCCAGTGAGGAGTCTGGCTTTGAAGGAGAGCCAGTGCATGATGGGATGGAGGAGCAGTGGAGAAAAGTGCAAAGGACAGCACTCTAGGGGGGTAGAAAGAGGGCAGGACACAGCAGGCCCGAAGCCCAGATGTGTGACAGCGGAGCCCAGCCTCTGCATGCCAGGCAGACTCACTCAGATGCAGAGCACACCCTTCTTCCTGTGGCTGAAGAAAGAGGGGACGTGAGACGTCAGTGTCCCAAATGAGGGCGTGGGGTCACCTCTGTAGAGGGGACAGTGCTAAGCACAAGAGTCTCACAGAGGACGGTCTGCCCAGCCCTTCCACGCCAAGACTCTGGAAACCCACAGAAAGCGTTACAGAGACATTATCGTTCCCATTTCACACAGAAGGGAACGGAGCACAGGACCGCGAGGCAGCCAGGTGTCGGCCGGTGGCGCTGGGACCCGGCTGCCTGACTAAATCTCTTACGTGGTCTGCCAGGTGCCCTGGGAGAGCGAGGGCCACAAAAGGGAAGTGTTTCAGGAGGGCCCGGGGTACCAGGAAAGCACATCCAAGAGCTCTGGGAAGCACAGGCCTGCGCTAAGGAAAAGCCAGTAAAGGAGCTGAGCTGGGCAGGTGTGGGAGGCTCTCGGGGGCAACCCTGGAGGGCAAGGAACCCAGACCAGCCTGGATAATCCGGGCGGGTTCACATCCCAGGTGGAAGGGAGGAGATGACCAGGTCACGATCAAGTCCTTGCTCTGGGGACAGCCGGAACTCTGGGGTGGGACGCAGAAGAACACAGAAGGTAGTGGTGTGACACTGGACATCCCAGCAGCTCCTGGTGCTCATTGCCACCTCCTTGAGGAGGAGGGTGGAAGAGAGAAATACCACCAGGGGCCTCAGAGCCGGAACAAGATGGCAGACTGTGAAAGCCTTAGCTCTTTCCATCGTGATGCAGCTTCTGAGCCTAGACGCAGTTCGTACTGGAACTGAGAAAAGGGAGTCATGGCCAGGTAGCATGGCACATGCTTGGAGTCCAAGCCAGGTGGAACACTGAGGCAGGAGAATCACTTGAGCCCAGGAGTTGTAAGCCAGCCTAGGCAACATAGCCAGACCGTCCGAAAGAGAAGTGCAGTGTGGGAGAGAGGGGAATCGAAGCGGGGG